TAACTCCAGATGGATTAAAGACTTAAATATAAGACCTAATACCATAAAAACCCTAGGTTTTTTAATACCATAATAAACCTAGGCAAAACCATTCAGGACATAGGCAAGAACTTCATGACCAAAACACCAAAAGCATTGGCAACAAAAGCCAAAATAGACAAATGGGACCTAATTAAACTCCAGAGCTTCTGCACAGCCAAAGAAACAATCATTAGATTAGAGTGAACTGGCAGTCAACAGAATGGAAAAAAAATTTTGCAGTCTACCCATCTGACAAAGGACTTATATCCAGAATCTACAAAGAAGTAAAACAGATTTTCAAGAAAAAAACAAGCCCATTCAAAAGTGGGCAAAGGATATGAACAGACACTTTTCTAAAGAAGACATATATGAGGCCAACAAACATATGAAAAAATACTCATCACTGGTCATTAGAGAAATGCAAATCAAAACTACATTGAGATATCATCTTATACCAGTTAGAATGGCAGTCATTAAAAAATCTAGAGACAATAGATGCTGGAGAGGATGTGGAGAAATAGGAACACTTTTACACTGTTGGTGGGAGTGTAAATTAGTTCAACTATTGTGGAAGACAGTGTGGCGATTCCTCAAGGATCTAGAAATAGAAAATTCCATTTGATCCAGCAATCCTGTTACTGAGTATATATCCAAAGGATTATAAATCATTCTATTATAAGGACACATGCACATGTATGTTCATTGTGGCACTATTTACAATAGGAAAGACCAACCCAAATGCCCATTGATGATAGACTGGACAGGGAAAATGTGGCTCATATACACCATGGAATATTATGCAGCCATAAAAAACGATGAGTTCATGTCCTTTGTAGGGACATGGATGAACCTGGAAACCATCATTCTCAGCAAACTGACACAAGAACAGAAATCAAACACCACATGTTATCACTCATAGGCGGGTATCAAACAACGGGAACACATGGATACAGGGAGGGGAGCATCACACACTGAGGTCTGTCGGGGGGACTAGGGGAAGGACAGCAGGGGGTAGGGAGTTGGGGAGGGATAACAAGGGGAGAAATGCCAGATATAGGTGATGGGGATGGAGGAAGCAAACCACATTGCCATGTCTGTACCTATGCAACAATCCTGCATGTTCTTCACATGTACCCCAGAACCTAAAGTGCAATAAAAATATATATATATATGCAAAAAAATCAAAATTAAAATACTCTCGTTTTTACCTCATATTTTAAATTTCTCTTTCCTTTAAAAACATATTTTATATATTTATATTATTTAATTCTAGCATTTAATCTTTTTATGGGCTAAAACTACTGTTTACAGTCAACTTGGTTATCGTATCATTTTTCCTCATGTGTTTGTAAATTTTTGTTATGAGCTCAGGTTTACTGCAGTGTTTAAAGGCATGGGCTTGATTGTTGTTTTCTTCACTGAGAGTCAAGACTTATGCGATTTCCCTTAGTAGGTTTCAGGGAAATAGTCATCCTTAAATTAAGGGATTTCTAACTATCTTCTTTCTTTTCTATTTTTTTTTTTTTTTTTTTTTTTTTTTTTTTTTTTTTTTTTTTTTTTTTTGAGACAGAGTCTTGCTTTGTCACCCAGGCTACAGTGCAGTGGTGTGATCATGGCACACTGCAGCCTTGAACTTCTGGGTCCAAGAAATCCTCTCACCTTAGCCTTCTACATAGCTGGGACCACCACACCTGGCTAAGTTTTACAATTTTTTTGCAGAGACAAGGTTTCTCTATGTTGCCCAGGTTGGTCTTGAACTCCTGGGCTTAAGCAATCCTCTTACCTCAGCCTACCAAAGGCCAGCATCTTGATCTGAAACTTTCTGCGTGCTGTGGGCTGTACTCTCTATTACATACAATCCATCAATTCTGAAGTTCTAGACCATAAGAGCAGCAGATCCACTATAGCAGCCACCTGCTTCCACAGTTTCCTGTATTTCTCTGGTTTCATGCATTTTCATTATTTCCCCTCTGAATATTTATCTTATCTTTTTGCCAGTTCATTTTTAAAGTCCAGAATTTTTGATATTTTTACTTGGATCATAATTTTTATTGTAGTATAATTTACATGTGGTAAAATGCACATATCTCAGTTATACAGATGAATTTTTTATATGTCTACACATGTGTACTCATCACCAATATCAAGATACAGGGAACTCCCAAGCCTTCCCAAAACCCTTGATGTTTTTCATGTCCCATATCCCCAGAAACCAATGGATTGAACCATTTTTTAGTTAGTTTCTACAAGGTTAATATTTGCATTTTGATAGAATTTTTGAAGGGGTTTGACCCTAATCATCTTCTCATATTGTTTTAAATTTACTATTTCTTCATCAAAGCTTAGTTAGCATCAATGGCAGGTAAAGTGGTGTATGCCCGTTTCCCAGCTACTTGGAAGATGAAGCAGAAGTATTGCTTGAGAACAAGAGTGTGCTATGCTTGCACCTGCGAAGCACTCCAGCCTGGGCAACATAGCAAGACCCCATCTCTTAAAGCTTAGCATCAATTCCTGGATTTATGACTTTACTTCTATCGTTCTCTGTTTTATGTGAATAGCTAAAGTCTTTTTTTTTTTTCTCTCTCTCTTAAAGGCACTCCGAGTCATGGGGAGAATAATGCGTGAGTGTTGGTATGCCAATGGAGCAGCCCGCCTAACTGCTCTTCGTATTAAGAAGACTATATCTCAACTTTGTGTCAAAGAAGACTGCAAAGCCTAATGATGATAATTACGTTAAAAAGAAATCTCTCACAGCTTTCTTTTCCATTTTCCCCTTTATGTGAATGTTTTTGCCATTTTTTTTTTGTTCTACCTCAAAGATAAGGCAGTACAGTATTTAAGTGCCCATAAGGCAGCATGAAAAGATAACTCTAAAGTTAAGCATGGGTAGGAGTTGACTTCATCCAATTTCTATGTTATGTTTAATTTTACTTTGAAAGCAACACCTCATCTTGTTATTTAATAGAAAGAAATATATTACAAAGGTATAAAATAAGCTCTATAAAAATAATATAGTCATTAAGTTTTTATTTTACTTGAACCAAGAGCACATGAATGACCAGGAAAAGATGTAGAAACATTTTTTTTCTGAGATGAAGGCATATTCATTAAACATGTGAACTAGAGCATGTTATCTTAAATAGAAATTTAGGTTATGTAATCTATGTTTTTCCCCTTTTTAAACTAGCAGGACCTTTTAAAAATAAATATTGCTCTAAATTTTAATATATCAAACACGTAAAAGTGGAGCTGCTCAGGGGAAGATGTAAGTGAGGTTGGTGTCCCACGTGCTTGGTCTCCCTTTCTGCTGTTCTCCTGCTCTTCATAATCCACTACTGCAGCAGTCACTGAACCACTAAACTTGCTTCTTTCATTTACAAAAGGGATACCTGACATCCTGAGACACTGAGAAATGTCCGAAAGTCACACAGCTAAAGGCAGAGCTGGCACTAGGGTCCAAATCTTGTGATAATAAACATCACAGAGTTAGCTAGCTTCCTACTTTCCCCTCAATTGTCATAGTACTTTTCTCCCTATGCAATAGCTTTTTATATTTGTCGTTTAGTCATGCAGAAGGCATACTGAGTTATTTTGCAGTATCATAATGGACCTGCATGAAATCTCAGAACCGCATCTGTTGACATTTTTTCTCACAGAAGTATCATGGTTACCGCACTTGTTAATGAGTATTAATGTTTTCTGAACTCTTCCAAAGATTAATCCAACACAAATATTCATTGTCTGAAAATGTCTTTAAGATACAATTCAGAGGTCCTATTTCCTTTGTACATACACATTTAGAAAGAAAAGACAGAATAGGAAGGAGGAAGCAAGGAAATATTTTGAGAAGATTTAAGAAAAGTCTTCAATGAAGTATAACAACCAAACCCTACAGAGGGTATCAGAAACTGCAAATACATATTCCTCTACTCTTTCACAATGAGCGAGTGAGTACAGAGAATGCTCATAATAGTTTTGCCTTCATTCTACTTTCTGTGGACACGGAGTAATGAATATTTAATGGGACATTACATATGCCCTTCAAATCTATAATGCTACTTTGGTAAAGGAGACTTAACATGGTGTCTTTTATTCTCCTAAAACATCTCTCAAACTCCATGCCTTAGAACATTCTTCTGCTGAGATATGATCCAAGACCCAAAGTGTTCTTTGATACTTGCTTAGAAAGTGATAGTACATGTTAGCATATAATGTACTTTGAAGAGTGAAGTAAATGCTACTGATTACAGTTTTTAAAAACCTAATAACAGTAAAGAAATGCTACTTGAATTTTTTTAAACTGGATTTTACAGATTACCTGACCATGGTGGAAGGAGCCCTTTTACTAAGAGGAGAAGAAACTTTTTTACTATCCCCACATTTAAGTGTTCTATAAAGCAAAGCACAGCTTGGATAATAGTGTTCTGAAAGATATGCTTCTGTATTTTCTCATAGAGTACAATTCAGTAATTATGGTTCATTTCATTATGGAAATATGTTACTGAATCCATTTTCATTTTACTGAGTTGAAATAAGGAAGGCAAAAAACCTGAAAGCTATGGAGTTTGCCGATACTTCCATACTCATTAATGCACTCATCCACTTATTAATCATAGAGCACCACATATCTTGCTTGCCACAATATCAGTTATGAGAGGGAATAAAAAGATAGATAGGTCCTGCCCTCAGGGATTTTAGAGTCTAATTTGGGAATGGGAATAGGGATGTGAGTGTGTAGGGGGAGAAAATAAATTGACAGATAAAATATGAAGTGGGATGTCTTGAGTTCTGCTTGACAGTGGGTTTCTAGGATAGGTCTGAAAATTGCTTTCATTTGCAACACATTTAGAAAGTATCTTTATTTGGATATTACAGACAATCTAAATATATCATCGGTTTTTAAAAGTGCCTATGTGAAGTGATTTTTTAAAAGAGCCTATGTGAAGGGGTAATCTTGCTTGTTACTAATTTCTCATAGATTGTTTTTCTGCATATATAAGAATGAAATTATTTATTTACTATGATTGTACTCATCTCAAATAAACAAGAATGATATTCCCTGTTTTATTTACATTGGATAAATATGCTTATTGAATTTTTAAAAGAGGATGTTTTAACATCTCCATTTTTCTTGTCATTATGTTTTGTAGCTTATTTGAGGGTGTCTAAATATAATTTCATATTTTATTGGTTCAACTTGCACTCTGAAGAAATCCGTTTGTTAGTACATTTTGAGGTGTTTTTCTTGTTTTTGTATTGGTTAACTGTGACTCCTAACTGAATAGTCTTATATTTCAATTTAAAAATACATTTTTTTAAGAAAGGGAGTAGGGCAGCAAAAAATGATAAGGAAAATGTTAAAAGTTGTAATATTTCCTTTACTCTTAACAGGATTATATATAGAACATGCTCACTTACAAAAATAGGATAATGAAGTTTAGAGCATAAGGCAGATTTCTTGTATATACTTATGCTGTCAAATTTTATCTTGTTTTTAATGGAGTCCCATTGTGTAATATTTCTTTCTTTTAAATTTTGTTATAAGCAAAAAAAATTCTTCTTAGGTTAGGTTCAGATTATCAGTGTTCTTTAATCCTTACAGATATTTTGGCTTTGGGATATAATACGGGACTTGGGAAAATGCTATCATAAATTTTCAGTACTGTATAAGGTGGTGATGGGATTTAAATGCAGCATCGCTTTCTGAAAATAAGAGAAACATTATTTGTTGTCAATATTTCAGCATGAACTTGTTGCCTTGTAAATTTTGCCTTTAAGTTTGTAATTGGTACAGATTCTGTTGTATGCTTTCTTCTATGTCTAAAATATTTGGCATGTCACATCTAGAATTCTTAATTTATGTTCTGACTTGAGAGTTAAGTGAAACATGACTGTCGTGCACTATTTTAGGCATAGCACTTGCTTTTCATCTTTATACTTTCAATTAACTTTGCATTTTAAATTTCCATGATTGTATGAAAATAGTAACCTGGTTGCAGTATCTGAAAAAATTAAAATCAGCTTTTATTTAAAAATGAAAATCTACAATAGACTCATTAGGTTAGAAGTTCCACAATAATTTATTATTTTAATACATCTCCTATTGTAGAATTACTAATAAAACAAACAAAACTATTTTTCTGGAGTTTTGCCACCATGTGACTCATTGGGGCAGAGAAAACTCAGGGTTATCTTTGAGTCTGCACAAAAGTACCAGGGAACCTACTTAGCATATCACCTGAAAACAGGGAGCTGATGTTTGCCATTATACAAAGTTTGAATAAACAACTTAAAATTGCTTGTTAGGGCATAGTCTTTGATTGAAACAAATATGAGAATGTATTTGGCTAAATAAATGTATTTAAAATATAGATATTTTATTTCCCAGTGGAAAATTAAGAAAGTAACCTTAGCAAATGAATGAAAACTGGCAGTGGATGTCTTCAATAATCATTCCTTTAAATAAATTCACAAACACATAATTATACGCTACTTAGAAATGGTTAGTGTTAGTATCTTAAAATGGCATCACTAGCCAGGCGCGGTGGCTCACGCCTGTAATCCCAGCACTTTGAGAGGCTGAGCCGGGGGGATCACAAGGTCAGGAGTTTGAGACCAGCCTGGACAATATGGTGACACCCTGTCTTTACAAAAAATACAAAAATTAGCTGGGTGTGGTGGTATGTGCCTGTAGTCCCAGCTACTTTGGAGGCTGAGGCAGAAGAATCCCTTGAACCTAGGAGGCAGAGGTCACAGTGAGCCAAGATCACGCCACTGCACTCCAGCCTGGGCAACAGAGCAAGACTCTGTCTGAAAAAAAAAAAAAAAGAAAAAAGAAAAAAAGAAAGAAACCATTGTGGTTTTTGAAGATATTTTAAACATCTTTTCTTTTGTGAAACATACCATTTCTGTTTCACAATGCTTTGTTCTAGCTCCATATGCTAATACCTACATGGAGTTTTTCTGCTATTTTAATGAAAACAGTAATTCTTTTATGTTGAGAGCTTCTTCTAAATAACAAAAAAGTAAATTGGAATGTAAGTTTTATTAAAATTTTAATATTAAGTAGAATGTTTATAATATGGGCATTTTTAAAAACATTTAAATGAAATTATATATTTGACTCTCTTTTTTCCATCTAGCCTTGCTTTATATTTCATTATTTTTCTCACTTTTTTTCTTAATATTCCCTCACTGTCTTTCAACATTATCATTAGTTCCTAATTTTAAAAATGACTATTATTTAACTTAACCATTCTGGAATTTAGCCTTCTAATGAAAGAGAATCCCTTATTGCTCTAAATTATTTCAGATGTGATACAGCCCAAAACAAAAACCAGAATTTGGGAATTAGAAACAATTAATTTTATAACTTGATTCCAATTTTGTTTAGATGACGAGACCAAGGATCAGAGATTAAATGACTATTAGTTATTAGCAGAACTCTTATAAAAGCCTGGTGGTGGCACCCAGCACAGTTCCCTGCTACATCCCCAATTTTTACTGATTAAAAATTAATTCACACACATCTAAACCTACCTTGAATGCACACTAACATAATGTGCCATTTAATAATGGTGATAAAATCCCACTTCTCTGTGTTTCTACTAAAATTATGTACTTACTCAGAGTGAGGTCAGTGAGGAAAAACTAAACTAGGCTAACAAAGAGCTGTAGAATGTTTGTCAAGCTAAGTAGGCAACCACTGGCGTGCTGATAAAATTAATGGATAAAATTCAGGAACTGAGAGAGTATAGAATTTGTTAGTGCAAGTAATGATTAGAGAACCTTCCTGACATTCCCATCCTTTATGTAGGGGTTATTCTTTGTTTTTGTACTTTGGAATGGGGTGAAACGTGATTTGATAATTGAATTTGGGACTATGTCCAGTGGAATATTATCTGACTTCTCTTTCTCTCTCTTCCCCAACCCCCACTCAGTTTCTCACTAGCTGGTCTTCAGCATTCATCTTCTTTCAGTGCATTACAAAATGTTTGCCAGATCTCATCAACCCCAAATCACTCTATAATTCCTGTCTTTCTTATGTTTTAACCTGTCCAAACTGCTACAGCATGAACTTCTTAATAAGATTTTAAGTTCTTCACCCATGTATAAGAAGTTTCACCTCATAAATTCTCCAGTAATTCTTCATTCGGCAGTGTAGGGTATTTGTTAATGGCAGAGATGACTTTATTTTAAAACTTAAAAAGACTAGCTGTTAACTGTATTCTAGCTTTTAGCTAACGTATAAAGAATGTCTACGTTTGCTTTAATGCTAAATTCCACTTGAGAAATAGTGACTGGGAAAGACAATTTGAAATATATGCCCCATAATGTGATTGCTAAATTTATTTCTGCTGTTTCAAATTGTTTTGTTTTGCTTTTGACATCTTTTAAGACTAAGCCATTATGTTATTAGTTTGGAATATAATACTATAGTAAAATTAGGTAACAATCCCTTTTTAAAAATTCCCCTAATAATAATAGAACTGCCAGGATACTTTTCTCTTTCAGTTGTAGATGAATACATTTGAGAGTATATGAGCTTTATTGCATCTTAGATTTTAATATTTTCACATGTGATTGTATTTCTTGATCATTGGTCCAAGTTATCCTAAAAGAAGTTTTTCTCTCCAGACCTAATAGTTTTAAGTGCAAGAGTTCACTGTGGGCTACATTAATCTGAATGTTAATGGGGCCACTAAGAATCTGAGTGCTTTAGGAGGTCACCCTATAACCACTGTCATTCCATCCAGTTGGCCCAGTTGTGCTCTGTACAAATACTCCCGGCTGAGGGGCACGTGGGGGCTAAAACCCAACTGCAATTGGCTCCCAGATAATTTTATAGTTTACAGAAAAGCATCTTATTTGCTTATATATGTTTAAAGAATGGCCTTGCTTATACATCTTTAGAAAATGAGAATTAAAAAGTCAAAATAATTCTTGACATCTGCAAATTGAACAAAGAACTTAGAAGAAATAATACTTTATCTTTTCATCCTGGCATTCCCAAGAGAAGAAGAGAGGTTGTATGTTTATCATGTTGGTTTAGTTTTTCAACCCAGACAACCTGCAGTAAGGCACATGGACCCTAATTTCAACCTAGAGAATCTGCAGCAAGGCACATGGACCCTAATCTTCCTCACAGTTTTCATTCTATGCATGGAGCTAACTATTGACTTTGCCTGTAAAGAGAGGATTATGTGCCTAAATTTTGTCTAACAAATGCAAACATAGAATGAAATGTATTA